GGTCCCAGAGACTGGTCGAGCTTAAGGGTTGCTATGAGGACCAGACTGTGCTCCAGCAGTGGGGACGGGAAGGCTGGAAAAGCAAGGGGCCAGGAAGGGCTCAACCAGATTTCAGTCCTGAGATACTAAATCTGCCCAGACCCACGCATCTGGGGCCATAATGATCTTCCAGGACAGGGTGGTAGGCACAGCGTTGAACTCCCGGTAAGGCTCAGGTACTAGCCAACTAAAAGGGACTCTGGCCGGTATGCCAGACGGGTGTCAGCACCTGCTGATCACCGGCCTTGTCTCCAGGGCCTGTCAAAAACACAGAGTGCATATCTGTGAGTGCCCCAGGTATCATTAATACACAGCACTGGTGGAATTTCAATTTCCAAGACACATCAGGCTAAATTTGTTTTAATTAGGCCTGTTAAAATGGAGAGGAGGTTACAAAAAACATAGGAGTCTTCTGAGAAAGGTAGCTATTTCAATCACAACACTTGTGATGCTCGTATCAAACGTCCAACAGTTTATCCTTATACTGACCTAGAAATCTAGAGGGGAAAAATATCAAGCTATACTTTTCTCAAAAGAAAACCGCTTACCTGCCATGGCCGGTGGCTGTATTGGTTGGAGTGTGTGCACCAGAAGGTGGCAGGTTTGGTTCCCAGTGAGGGTACATGCCCAGGTTGTGAATTCAGTCCTGGTTGGGGTGCATGTGGGAGGCAACCGATCTCTCTCTCTCTCTCTCTCTCTCTCTCCCTCTCCCTCATCAATAATAAAATAAAATTAAAAAGCCAGGCTGAGATACAGCAAGGAATATTGACGACTTTAAAGAAAACTGCTTGCCTTATCTTTGAGTTGAGAGATAATGTTTTAAAGATGCAGATTTCCCAATAAGCTTTTAGAATATTGACAAATGAAAATAGTCACTAACAGCTATAAATCAACACAGAGCTTGGCTTCCTTCAGCAAAGCGGGGGGAAGATTTGTCATCCCACCAGCCCCACCTCTGCCCAAGCTGCGTCCAATGAGGTCCCAGAGGAGTGGCTGTGCTCTTGTTTTGGTCTCTTGACCTTCTAAGCGCGCCGAGGTCTTGCATGGTAAAAACCAAAGATGCGGTCGCTCCTGTCGCTGCTGCTGGGTCCAGCTGTAATCACCCAAGCCGGCCAGAAAGGTCCCCAAGTAACATCGGGGAAGAACAAATGTTTATTTTTAAGTAAATTACCCTTTTTTTGATTTAATAAAAAAGCTTTGATAAAGTTTCGTTTTAAACCATATGCAAATACAGTAATCTCTGAAGGATTTGGCAAAGATTTTTTTCCTATTTCCAGTTTTTTTTAACGTCGCCACAGACATGCTTAGAATAAGGCTGATTGTAAGAGCCTCCAAAAGTTCAGCACAAAGGATAAGGTTAAACAGAGCAACGTGCACTGATGAAGAGTCTGAAGCAGAAACGCCCTCTTTCTCCATAATGTGTGTTCCTCATGCTGAGAGAGCCTGGTGTGCTTTGGCTGCGTACAGATGTTTAAAGGCAGGTGTTGTTGTTGTTTCCAGAGGAGAGATATTCTCAGATTGACTTAACCAACCCCATATTTAATCTGAGTTTTCCTTCAAAATGCTTTCAATTTCTTTTTGCAGTATAATCTTCTTCAGGCTGAGAGCTGTTTTTCCCTCCAGCCATGGGATTCTGTTTCAGAACGTCTTATTAGTACCTTGTAGTGTCTATGAGTGAGGTGGGTCACAGTGGGCGCTCTTAGGGGGACACCACCAACTTCTTGTGGGCATCCAGTTGTGTTTTATCCATGTCATGATTATGAATAGAAATTGAGGCTGGAGCACTGCTCTGTCCTATGAGGGCTAGATTGCAGTCCCACCCAAGGGCCCTGCAGGTCTTCCTCCTGCAGACCGGGTGCTCTGTGACTCTGGTCTGCTGGTTGCATCTGTGACCAGTGGAAACGAGAGTCCAAGTACATTACTTTTGTATTTTGCAATATACTTTGTGTGTGTTTTAGTAACAGTAATATAATATTCAGAAAAAATTGAGGTCCGTTTTGTTCCTCTCCTCAATTGCCTTCCTCTACTTTTCTCCCAGGAGATAACTCTTATAGTATCTTTAGGTAAGTGATTCTATTTATTATATAATTAAAATTAAATAATT